TATATTGATAATTAAATAAACAGAGGACATCATTGATTGCGTAAGAATGATAAGATTGTCCAAATTCGGTTGAATAAGCAGAAATAAATTCAAGGGCTTCGAAGAGAAGAAAGAAAAAAAAAAATTCGTACAAGGATTATTGATGGGTTTCACTTAGGATGCTTCCGAGGATAAACTTAACACTTATTCTTCTTCCTGTCTATGATGTTGATGAGAATTGAAAATTGTTTTAGATTTGTTGATCTAATTTGACTAATAACCTAAAAATTTTCTTAACCCTTTTCTTCTCGTTTGAAATTTAATTGGTAATTGCATTTTTTTCCTCTGCATTTGTTATTAGTAGTTGTCTAGAGGTCGATCAGAGAAAAAAAAAATGTAGTTGTGTAGGGTAAGAATTTTTTTTTCTTATTGTATTTTTTTATAAACCAAACTAAATATAATTTTTTAATAATGAACTAAATATAAATTGAAAATGGTGCATATCATTGTTGACAGAATTTTCTTTGGATAATAATTAATATACCTTTTAGTTTAACACACTACACAACACATTCCAGTTCAACTATTAAAATTTGCCTTTGAAACTTTTCCTGCCATGAATTCAAATTTGAAAATAATAGTTTCTTAATGAGTATATTGTAGAGTGTGTTAAATTAAAAGGTATATCAATGATTTTTTTTTCTTTATTAATATACTTATTTGTCTTATTTGTTCTTATTTAGGTGTGTCAACGTATTTTGCAGGTTGAGACATTTTTTAGGTCGAGGAGAAGAGTTACACTCTTAACTCTAATCTAGCTAGGGGGTTAATACTTCATTATCTGTCACGAGCATTTGGCATCCTTTTGAACATTGTAGATTTCAACATACAAGACACAGTGGGAAAAAAGGTGACACTTGCGCATGACTGCATCTGCATGAGTTCGGTAGGAATGTAATTTTTGGTGGAAGATGATGAATTCAGAATGCACAAAAAATCCTTACAAATAAGTAGTATGCGATGTATCATATTTATCGATAACATTTGAGTAAACCATATCAAAGACAAAAATGATGTGAAAGTTTCGGCCAATTTATAATTTTTTTGTTTGTATGTTATCTTTTTATATTAGTTAATTATGTAATTTTACTAAATGATATATTTAAAATTAATTATTATTAGTTGATTATTTTAATTTTATATTTGTAAAACCAAAGTACTATTGTATTTAAACTTATTTATGATCAAAAATTTACTTTTTTAGATATTAGCTATAAAGTATCTTTTGGTACTAAAATTAGTTGTCATATACATTTTTTGTGACAAAATTTTGTCAAAGATATATGTTATAATTACATAAATACCCTGTTGACTTAATATTAGTTTAAATAATTAGTGACACAGACATTGCATTAGTGACATGGATATTGCATTCGTGACAAGTTTTTTTTGTTACAAATGTATGTTGTAATGAAAAAAAAAATACCCTTTTTGGTTCAATAATCGATTTAAATAATTGATAACTAAATATTTCATCAGAAATATCCAATTGCATTTGTAACGTATTTTTTTATCACCCAATTATAACTTATGTGATGAATAAAATTATTACAAATAACCCGTTAAAAATGTTGATTTTTTCTATAACAAG